GTGTGTGTTTGTGTGTGAGTGTGCAGTCGTGTGTGGGTATCGCTGAGTGTGAGTGTGTGTGTGTGTGTGTGTGTGTGTGTGTGTGTGTGTGTGTGTTTGTGCATGTATGTGTGTGTGTATGTGTGTACACCAGTGTAGGTAAGAAATAAAGAGTAGAAGTTTTTAGTCCAGCCCTATGCTATCTAAGCTTACTATTTGTTGATGTTATCACACCAGGAGGTTTGGCATTGTACATTATTTGCATTGTAGGGTCAGTGTCAGTTCATGTTCCTTCAGTGTTCTCTTGTTGTTCCTGCTATGCTGGGATTACTCTTCATAATTCTGCTAGTATGTTTTGTAAAGCATTTTATCCAATCTTTTATTGTGTCCTTTTAAATCTTTGTGTATAGATTTATTACAAATTATCCATGTGAACTTATGATGTGTTGAAGGTTTAATGATACTTTGGCCTGAAACTAGAAAAAACTTTTTTGGGGGTTGTCTCCTTGAACAAATTACCTCCAGCACTGGACTATGACACCAGATGTGAGGTATAAATTTACACCACTGTCTCATTCTTTGGTAATATACTTTTACCGTTCCTGTTGCAGTCAGTATTACTGTGTTGTGCTATGTATTGAATTCAATGTCTTGAATTTGTTTTATCTTTTTTTCATTCTTGAACACGTTGATATTTATTCTCTTGATGCATAAACTTTGTTTTTAAAATTCTGCTAAAGTGTCTTGTTCGACAGTTTACTTCCCACTACCTCACTCCATATGGTGAGTGTTTATATTGATAGTCTGTCATTGACTCAGCCTGTGTGCCAAGAACAATAAAGTTATGAGATGAACTATTGCATTCTTTAACTCTTTAAAGATGTAGTGGACATATATGTGTGACGCGGTGGAATCAGGTGCTCGTCAATTTTTTACCTTATGGAGTTATTGGTATCATCTTTAAGCTTTGTCTTGCTTTCGGTGAAAAAGTATCCCTCTCTCTTGAATAGAAGTTGAGAAATGTGTGATTGAAGGAGATGGGGGTGGACTAGATCTAGTAGCAGGTGTAAAATTAGTGAGAATATGGCCGCCCAAGTTTGATGACTTCCAAAAATAAGTATTCTTGGAAACTGCTACTAAACATTTTTTGTGGCTTTGATCCACATTTTTCAATAAAATCTGCAGAGAAATGTGTTTTTAATTGGACATAAAAGATGTAGGGCTAAAAAATGAAAATTAAAAAAAAATGCCCAATAGCCAGGTAAATGGTGGTTTCTTTGATTTCATTATTTTGACGAGTGCCTGATTTCACCACGACGCCTCACATGTTATGTCTAATCTGCAGCTGACCAAAGGTATTGTTGTGGTACATTTCAAACACACATCAGACACATTGATTTCTTAGTATGTATGTTGGTGGGTGGCCTTTTAAGATCTAAGGAAGTTATGCTTCTTTTTTTCAGGTGCCCCAAAACAGCACATCTTTGAGCATTGTCATTGGTCCAGAATGCGTGTCTTCAG